TTCGTGAGTTTGAAAACGAAAAAAAAAAAAAAAAAAAGAAAAAAAGGAAAGGTCAGTAGATGTTTTAAACGATAAATATGTCTGGAGGTTACCAGAAGGTTAGAGATTATATTAGTGATGTAAGAAACGAGCACGATACATTGCCCTCATATTTTAATCAAATGGAAACGTTACATTAACTTGGACACGTTATATTAAACCGAGAAAAAAATTCAGACGTTCAGTCTGATCTTTTATTTAACTTTTACCGAGAAATTTAATTTATGGTAATTGATAATGGAGATTTGTTAAAACAAATTTTTCTAATAAATATGTTAGAATAATTTTTAAACAATATAACTATTTTATTCGATATATGATATCGACGTATCATTAATTTGAAAAGAAAAATGAAATAATTGCAATAGGTAAATATGATTATCTCTTAATATATTAATATTTTGTCTACAATATTACGATAACGATATTTCCATTGTGTTATCATCATATGATAATATCTCTTTGTGAATGATAAAATTTATTAAAAAAATTATTTTGTTAACATTACTAATTTACTAATTTTTAATTATAGAGATTGATTAATTGAATTAAATTCGTTTCTTAAAATATGATTTTTACACTCGTGACCAAAATAGATTTTTATAATAGAATCGCTTACGAGTTAGAAAAGAAATAAACATTTTGACACATGAGAGATGTATGATCTTAAAGGAAGTATTCCATTAAAGTAATCGGTCAAACAGGAACTCTACATTACTTCAATTTAATCTTTCACACGAAATCGTTATGGTTTCGTGATATCTACATAAATGTATTTACTCAAGGTTAACCATTGCCCCTTATTGCCATGTAGAAATGTGATTCTTCAGTCTTTCACGGATAGAATGGTTGCGTGCATTCCATCCCCCTACAAACTTTTTCATCTTTTTCTTTTTCTTTTCTCTTTGTTTTTTGTTTTGTTCTCCAATGAAACTTTCACGCCTGAAAAATTAGTTAGTTAGCAATTTCTAACATTTGAAAGTAATTTCATGTTTTGCAATTAACGACCTGGTATTTATCTTTTTATTACGTTTGGAATTTTACGAATAAGCGAGTAATTATTTTAAGAAAAAATATTTTATGGTATTTGCGTTTATTTTATATAACGTTAATTAGTTTCTAATATTATAAACAATTTTTTTTTATTATTAATTACTGCCAATTTATAATTTTACAAATATGCGAATAATTATTTTGTAAATAATGATATTTCATAGAGTTTGTTATATTTAGATACGGTGAGACAGGTACATGATAATTCTATTTGATAAAAATAAGAGTAAATTAAATTTTTTATTAGAAAATTTAAGAAAATTTAGGAAATTGAATTTTTGAAATTTATCAATTGTGCATTTATTAGTCTATATTTATAATGCAATGTTCATAAAATTAATTTTCTACATCATAACATTATAGTTTTATATTAGTAATTTTATTAATTTGTATATTTTAGGCAATTATTAAAAAAGATTCTTGCAACATGATTCAAATATTTTATCAAAATGAAATACGAACTAAATAAAATCGTTAATACAAATAAAATTGCATGCACAATGTTACTAAACGTATTTTCTTTTATCATTGTGCATATTGATTATTTAATAACTTTAAAAATATAAAAAAGAAATAGAAAATATATCGTGTTATGCATATTTTTCATAAAATGAAATATAAATTACATTAGAAGAAAAAACGTATTCATAATAAAAGTTATAATTATAAAAAAAAGTAATAATAATTCAATTTATCATATATTCAAGCCATTATTCACATTATTGGTTTCCATTAATAAAGATTACAAACAAAGAATCAAAATTCATTTATAATCAGCACATTGAAATTCACGATAATAATGGCACTAATAAAATACACGAAATATAAGTTGAGGCTAAAATGCTATAATCACGTTATCAGTTAGCAAATAGTATGTATTAAGCACGATTATAACGTTGTACGTAATTTCCAATTGAACAGTTGTTGCACGCACTATACGTAAGTATCAACAGATAGAAATAGCAATCGAGCACCTAATTATCGTTGAATTATTCACAGGAACTACGGTAGTTTGAATTTTCAACAACTTGATCTTCCAACACGCTGAAATTGATATCTAATATGTACATATTTACATATGATTTCTGTAAACGTATCAAATGTACGAGTATCTTTCAAAAGTGCTTAATACACTGTCATTGTGTATCATATATAAACTATTGTCACGAATAAATTAGAATTCTACGCTGTACTAAATCCTTAGTAATGTAACGTAAATAAATAAATAAATAATCAATAAAAATATTTTTTTATCTTTTTTTATGAGAAATATGAAATATTCTTCTCAATCAAAATTTAAAAATAATCGAAAATTTGTTTGAATGATTTATCTATCGATAAAATAGCAATCTTTAAATTGCGAATTTTTATGCAAATACGTTAAATATGTTTCGTGCATTTTGTATAAATGAAGTAATAATGAATATAGAATGTTCAAAAAACATAAAAAATTATTCTTTAATATAATCTTCAAAATAAAGCAAAAATTGGAAATTAAAAAATTATGTTTTAGTTTTTAAGAATTAAAAATCGATTAAAATATTTCTAGGCACTAAACCTTTCTTTAAGAATGTAAGGTAACTCAAACAATGAAAAACATAGCGATCCTCAATTTCAGGAAAACACAAATTTACACAGATATAACTTATTCTAAGTTTTCGATATCATAATCTTGTTTTCTATAACTTTTAAAACCATTGCAATCAAGCAAAATAATTAATGAAACTTAAATTTTTCACGAAAAAAAGTAAGAGAAGAAATGAAAAATTTCATCCTCAAAACCATCCAAGAAATACAAGAAATTTTATCAATGAAATTACTTTTTATTTCACTCCAATATCTCAATTGGTTACCGAGATATAAAGATTCAAAGTGTCCATAACGCTCAAGACAGTGCGGAAGTTATGACTGGGCCCACGACCCACTGACTTATATTTTTTTTCCTTACATTACGTACTTCACATTTAAGAATCGTGTCTGTCACTTGTCTGGGCCTTGGGATTGGTCAGTGAGCAGGTGCGGCATCAAATCAGTGACGAGAACGGAGATAGTAAACGATTAAAAATTATCCTTTTCTTTACACGATGATATCTCGGGAACCGGAACTCGTATCGAGATAAAAAAAAATGCGTTTTAAAAGAGAAGATTCTATGCTTCCAATGATCGTTCACTCGTTGACCGGATGTTATTATGTTCGAAGTTATAGCGGTTCAAAGTTTTTGCTAATTTTAATAAGCAGTTTGGTCGGATTCAGGGTATACGGTTAAGAATTACTGTTTTCTTTAGAAAATGATATCTCGGGAATCAGAAATGATATCAGTATAAATGAAAATGTATTTTAAAGAGTAAGATTCCACGCTTCTAACTGGATCTCTCATTCGTTGAAAAGAAGTTATCCTTGGAGTTATAGCATTTCACAGTTTTTCCTAATTTTAAGAGTTTAATCGAATTTTAAGATAAATTATGAAATGAACGTAATTATCTGTGGAAAAATATTTCTTGTAACGATTTTGTTAATGGTATGTTGAAGCAAATTAGATTATTTATTTCATTTCATCGATTCCAACTTAATTATTTTGAAGAATTATGAGTTCTGTAATAAAAGATCTTCAAATTGTAATGTTCTTTTATAGTTCTTTCTAGTCTATTATTGACTTTGAAGATTATTGTATTCTTTGAGTTGTCCTACATTTGTTCCTGAAGAAAAGTTTTGTTTGCCTATAGATATTATATTCTTATCAACTTTTAATTGTCAATAACTAAAAAAGTAGTTTTTTTGAACTTTTAATAATACTTACAGCTGAACATCCTGTATTTACTTATCACTTATTTAATCAAATTAATTAAAAATCAATATATCTGAAGAAAAATTATTCATTGCTTTAAATAATAAACAAATTAATGTTTTGTAATTCTTTCTAATCTATTATTGAATTTAAAGATTATTGTATTCTTTGAGTTGTCCTACATTTGTTCCTGAAAAAAAGTTTTGTTTGCTTATAGATATTATATTCTTATCAACTTTTAATTGTCAATAACTAAAAAAGTAGTTTTTTTGAACTTTTAATAATACTTACAGCTGAACATCCTGTATTTACTTATCACTTATTTAATCAAATTAGTTAAAAATCAATATATTTGAACAAAAATTATTCATTAAGTAATAAACAAATTAATGTTCTTTTGTAATTCTTTTTAATCTGTTATTGACTTTAAAGATTATTATTTCTTTGAGCTGTCCTACATTTGTTCTTGAAAAAAAAGTTTTGTTTGCCTATAAATATTATATTTTTATCAATTTTTAATTGTCAATAACTAAAAAAATAATTTTTTTTTAATTTTTAAATATTTATTTATTTATTTTGAACAGCTTGTATTTACTTATTACTTATTTAATTAAAAATCAATATATCTGAATAAAAATCAAAATTATATTTTATATAATAATACATGAAAATTAAACATTTATATTACACAAATTATTAACGTAAAATAAAAACACATTCAAATTTTAAATGAATCGAACGAAGGAAAGCTCGATACAATCTTCCAAAGTTTTGGAAGAATGCCGAACGAAATTCTAAAGCCAATTACCAAAACCGCTGAAAAGTAGTTCCATTAATAAATGATTTCATTTATTAAGCAAGCTTCCTCCAAACATCGTATGCATTCGAACGCGATGAATCACGCATCAAGAGTAGCGTCTTTCATTTAATATTTATTCATTTAGACACAACGTAGATTATGTTTTAAGATTATCGGCACGTAGAGTTGTATGATCTTTTTAATGATGGCAATGACTACCAGTGATACGCAACAGGTTTATGGAGAGAGATATCCTCTTGTCAGAGGTGACGAGAATCATCTGGTCTGCTTAAACTCTAATAATATGAACGAAGTGAAAATGGATTCGCAAGAAATCACGAGCAACGCGGCCGAATCTCCCTCGAATCGCGAATTGAATGTGGTAAGCTATAATTTCACAAATCATCATTTAAAGGTTTGTCGAAACCTTTAAATCCATCACGGTTGATAGCAGATATATTTTCGATAAATCCAATAAATTCTTCTGTTTTTCTGTCATCAATAAAATTGTTAAATTAATGCATATTCCTTTTTCTTTTTAGTTTTCATCATTTTATACTTATTCTTTTTCTAAAATATTTTATTAAAAGAAGAAACTTTCAAAGGTTATATTAAATTTATTATGATTTAATAAATAATTAATAATTTTTGTCAAAAATAGTATTTCGTCACTGGAAAAATTTAATTGAAATATAATATACAAAATATATATACATATAAAATATTTAAATTATTAATTTAATATTTTTATTTAAAATATATTTGTCATTGAAAATAATCGTTATATTATACCAAAAAAGTATTCTTCATTAAACATTTTAAAAGAAACTCAATATCTTAATTTCTTATCAAAAAAATCTAATATATTTTCAAAATTAAAATAAAATACTCGCTATTTTATCTATTTATATTTATACATATTATTTTCATTCGAAATTATACCAAAAAAATATTCTTCATTAAACATTTTTATTGACAAAATTAAAATAAAATTCGTTATTTTATCTATTTATATTTATACATATTATTTTCTTTCGAATCTTTATTTATTTATCTATTTATTTTTCACAACTCTGATAGCGAAAATACGAATTAACATAAACGTCCAATGGTGATCTATTCACCCCTGCACGAGAGATCGAGTTTGTCCCGCGTTTTATTATCACGAAAAAAAAAAGAAAAAAGAAATCTCGTGCACTCGCTCGTGCAAACAGTCTCTATATAAATTTCCCCTAATGTTTTCACTGAGAATGAGAATATTCGACGAAGGAAACGAGAAGGGTAAACAGCCGGAGCTGTTCCTGAACGGGTGGTTGGCGCTACTGCTTTAGGTCACGCCAATCTGAAATGCTTCGATGGATCGCGATGGATGTCGATGGTATACTATAATCATTCGTGGTATAATCCCATAAAGGGAGGGAAAGCCGGTACGTGGCAGGTACGATAAATATATACCGAATCTTCGAAACGTCGCCGTTTTGTATTATGGGCTCTGATCGATGGTCTCAGGGCCAATATCGACTTATCAGAATTTGA